AGATTTCTCGGCTGCTACCTGTTGCGCTTCAGGTTTTTTCCTGCCTTTTAATTCTTTAACTGGCAGAGAAAGTGAGCCCAATCAAGACCCCTAGGCTGTATCTTCTGGGGGCTCACCTCGGCTTCCGAAGACTGTGTCACGTACAGCCCAGCCTGGTTCACTCTCAGCAATGACCTGAAGAGATCTTTGACCCAGATGTTCCTTCCACAGCCCTTCTGTGGTGAGGGTAAGGGGGTTGAAACAGGGTCTCATGAGGTAACCTTGGCCGTCCTGAAGCTCACTGTGTAGATCAGGCTGGCCTTGAACTCAGAGACCTGCCTGCCTCTGCCTCCTGGGACCTGCTGGGATTAAAGGCCAGCACTGCTGGCCTGTTCCAAAGTTCTGCTACTTCACCTTCAAACTGTTTCCAACTGAAAAGCAAAAACAAAATCTGGTCAATCACCTGGCCCAGCTGTACACTTTGAACAAAGACAGGAGCTGAGGGGGAGGATGAGTCCCTGTCTCTGCCTGGCACCAGGATGTAAACTTTGTCTTGGCTGATTCTTCAACATCAAGGTCCCAGGTAACCCAGGCTGGCCTCAGAGTCTACCCAGCTGAGAATGACCCTAAGCTCCTGAGCCTCCTGCCCCACCTGCTGAGTACTAGAATTACACACAACACCTCTGGCAAGGGAGACCTCCTTAAAGGGCCCATTTGTGCCAGAAGTCCACGTCTGGAAACCCTGGAAATCCTGGGCTTGGTTCTCTGTGGGCACGCCAGAGGAAGAGAAAATCAGGGTTGCCGTGTTAACCTTACTTCTAAATTCCACTCAGAAGCTGAGGCGGTTTGGACAGGAAATGTCTCCCAGAGACTCAGCCATTTAAAGGTAAGTGGTCCCAGTTGGTGGATCTGTTTGGGGAGGGTGCACACCTGGCTGGAGGAAATGTCAGGCTTTGGGGTTGTGCTAGGCATGCGCTCTATCAACTTTCCAGAGGTGTATAAGAGGCTGTGTCGCACCCAGTGACCTCACAACCCTCTCTACCCCAGCAAACGCAGGGCATAGATCCCACTCTGTGGCCACTCAGGGGTTCCTTCAGCTGTGTCTGTGGGCCACAGTGGGGCTAGACTCAGACAGCCTGGCCTGGGACCTGATCCCTTCCTGCCAGCCAGGGAGAGATGAGACCTGTGAGTGGCAGGTCCTCGGTCATTCAGACAACCTTTGCAAATCGGGGCAAGCGCTGCTGCTGCTGCTGCTGCTGCTGCTGCTGCTGCTGCTGCTGCTGCTGCAAAGACCGCCCACCTCTGCAGAATGCAGCTGCAGGCAGTCCGGGCTCTGGCTCTGCACCAATCAGTGTGCAGTGCTCCCCCAGGCTGCTTCTAGGTGTCTGGAAAGCCCACCAGAAGGAATGAATTCTTCGAATGAGCATCCGAATTTTATAGACGGGGAAACTGCAGCGAGGAGGACAGTTGTCCGTGGCCACCAGGCTGACGAGACACACAGTCTATTTCTGACTGAAGACACAATCCCAGCTATCAGGCTTCCTCCTCGGTTCCTGAGGTTGAGTCCCTAGGCTTGGGGATGTGTTTCAGCTTCCTGATCCTCTCCGTGAAGGTTGTGGGATCTGCCAAATAGAGGATTCAGGGAGCAGGCGCCTGACAGAGTAGTTGGTATCAGTCGGTTGTTAGGCCGATGTTACTATGTTACAGAGGAAGGTCTTGTGTCTAGTGGTCTTTCAAAGCTAGGGACTAGAATTAACAAGAAAATACCAGGAAGGGGCCTGGAGAGATAGCTAAGAAGACTGGGTTCTGTTCCTAGCACCCACTCGGTGGCTCACAATCATCTGTAATTTCAAGTTCCGGTTGATGCCCTCTTCCCAGCTCTGAGAAGACAGGCATATGGTACACAAACATTTGTGAGAGTAAAACAGCCCCCCCACACACACACAATGTATAAATATTGCTTTCTAAAATGATATTGTAAAAATAAATAACCAGTCACATAGTAGGTGTTTTGCTGATTGGATCCACTAAGCAAGCTGTGTGGCCTTAGCCAAGTAGGTGACCTCTCTGTGACATGAGAGTACGTGGCTGAAAGGAACTTGGGGAACTAGGCAATCTTTGTCCTCTGAAAGTAAATCCAATTTCAGAGAACAGCTAAATTCACGTGGAATGGAGTCTGGTGACTAAGGCCAGGGACCCAGTTGAGAAATGTCCCTTTGAGTTCAAAGCAATGGTAATTACAGAGCCTAAGCCTGTTTGTCCTGCAGCCTACAGTCCAGGAGGCAGGCAGATCAAAGTGCCTGGGCTTATCTGTGTCCCAGGCCGTCCCTCGTCCCTGCACTGGAGACTCAAACCCAAAAGTCACCTCTGACCCAAACCTGAGTGTCCTTCCCACGCCTCAGGTCACCAACCCTGGGGCTGCCCCTGGGAATTCAAATACTGCTGTCAAGGGGAGGGGATTTAAATGACTCAAATAATTATTTATCTTTATTTCTTACGTTACGTTTATTGAGTGAGGGTGTGTGTGTGTGTGGCTACACGCATGTGTGGAAATCAAGCGACAGCTTGCTGGAGTTGGTTGTCGCTCCTACCATGTGAATTCTGGAGATTGAACAAAGGTCTTCAGACTTGGCAACAAATGCTTTTACCCACCGAGTCATCTCACCAGTCTTTTTTTTGTGTTTTGTTTTGTTTTGTTGTTTTTAAGATTTATTTTTATTAAGTTTTTTTTTTGAGGGGTTGGAGAGATGGCTCAGTGGTCAAGAGCACTGACTGCTCTTATGAAGGACCCAGGTTTAATTCCCAACACCTATATGGTGGCTCACAACCATCTGTAACTCCAGCCTCAAAGGATCTGAGGTCCTCTTATGGCCTCTGGACGCTAACATACATTCAGGTAAGAATATGCATAATAAATAAAAAAACCCTCAAAACATCTAAAATACTAAAAAACTTTTCTGGAAATTATGTATATGTGTGCTGAAAGTTGTGTGTGTACATGCACACGCGAGTCCAGGTGCCAAAGGTGCCAGCGGCAGCAGATTCCCGGAGCTTGATTGTAGGGGTTGCTGGTGCTGGGAGTAGAAAGCCGTCCCTTGGCAACAGCAGCGCATGCGCTTGGGCACCGAGCCTTCTCTCCAGCCGCCTTCTTTGGAGGGAGATCTTTTCCAACATCCTCGCTGCTTTGTGGTGCCCAGCCCGGCCTCTGCTTCCGGAGTGCTGGGATTCGAACCAACACAGGAAGGCTTTTTGTCTTGTTTTGTTTTGTTTTTAAGATGGGAGGAGTGATCTCAAATCTGTAGCCCTCCTAAGGCCACCCTGCCTTCCAAGAACTGTAGTGACAGGCGTAGTCCCAGCCCATAAATTATCATCTCAAATATTCAAAATTGTGTGTTAAAGTCAGGCAGTGGTGTCACCCACCTTTGATCTGAGCACTTAGAGGTGAAGGCGGGTGGATCTCTGACTTGGAGGCCAGCCTGGTCTACAGAGTAAGTTCCAGGATAGCCAGAGCTACGCAGAGAATCCTGTCTCAAAAAAAAAAAAAAAAAAAAAAACTAAAAAGTAAATCATTTTATAATGTATGTTATTAAAATGTGGGCTGGAGAAATGGCTCAGTTGTTTAGGGCACAGACTCCTCTTGCAGAACTCACACTGGGCAACTCACATAGGCCTAGGCCTATCACCTCAGCTTCATGGAATCCACGTCTTTCTGGCCTCTGAGAACACCTGCACTCATGTGCACACACCCACACACAGACACACATGCATTACATAATTAAAAATAATAGCCTGAGTCGGGCAGGTGGTGCACGCCTGTAATCCCAGCACTTGGGAGGCAGAGGCAGGCGGATCTCTGTGAGTTTAAGGCCAGCCTGAGCCTGGCACACACCATGAATTTCAGGCTAGCCAGAGTTACATAGTAAGACCAGGGGAAAAATAAATAAATAATAAATAAATGGAATGCACAGTTGCACACACGTGTAATCCCAGTACCTGGAAGATGGGGGCAGGAGAATCAGGAGTTTAGCTATGTAGTGAGTTTGTGGCCAGTATTTGCTACCTGAGATCCCGTCTAAAAACACTAAAATAATAATGATAATAAAAACACAAGAGAAAGGTCTGGATTTGGGCCCAATTCCACAGCTTCTCTCTAATTGACACCAAGCAAAGCAAGTCACTTTGTGTCCCCCTAGATTCTGTTTCCCCACCTGGAAAAGAGAGACTATCTCTGTTCCACCCACATTTTGACTCCTGGGGACATCAGGTAAAATAGAGTGTTCTGTGAAATCAGACCCTTATCAAGATGTGTGGCATGTGCAGGGATGGGGAGCCCTAAAGACGGGCACACAGTGACTAATGCCCGGACACCAACACCAGGTAGGTTCCACACGGCACTTAGACCCATTTTACAGGAGAGGGAAGAGGCTCAGGGAGGCTGCGGAAATTACCCAAAGATGACCGCTCTCCAGTGGCCCATGCCTTCCGACACACCAGGCTTTGGGAACCCCAGGCCCCTGTCCTGCTCACTGCCTTCCTGTCAGACCACCTCCCTTTACTGCTTTGGGGACCCTTTAGGCAAACCTCCCATATCACATTCCTTATCCCAATAAGGATCCAGACCTTATCGAAAGGCTCCAGACCTCTACTAATCAAGCCCAGACAGCAAGGCGAGTCTGTAATCTTTACTGGGGGGGGGCAGAGGCAGGCAGATCTCTGGGAATTAATTCAAGGCCAGCCTGGTCTAGACAGTGAGTTCTAAGTCAGTCAGGGCTACATGTACAGTGAAACTTTAACTGAAAAAAAAATGCCAAAATGACTTAGACAGGGTGCTTGCTGATACCCACAAATCAATTAATTGTCCCTCAAACCTCTGTGCACATGAACCATGTGTGCCACTCACAATGCAATAAATAAATGTAATTTTTTATTGTTTTTATTGAAGTATATATTTTTCTTCACTTCCCTTCCTTTCTACCCTCCTCCCTTTCTACCCTCTCCCGTGACCCCCATGCTCCCATAAATGTAAAAATTTTAAAGTAAGTTTTTCAGGCTGAGTATGGTATCATAAGCTGGTAATCCCAGCACTCAGGAACCTGGAGAATCTTGGCTTCTAGGCCAACCTGTGCAAGGAGACCCTGGCTATGGAAGGAGACACTGGTTGGGAGGTTGGGGACAACTGGAGAGTCAGTCTAACCTCTTACTCTCCAGCCCCCCACCCCCACCACTGAAATGTTCCATAGGGAAGCGCCTCATTTAGGTGGAGGGTCCTTTAGGCTGCTGTGCTGAGGAGCGTTCCAAGTCCAGATCCTCCTCTCAGCGGCTGAGTCCTGGGCTGGAGCGGCTGGTCTATAGAAGTGAGTCCTAAGTGGCTTTAGCCTGAGCTGCGCAGGTGGGGAGAAGCTGAGCTAAGATTAGCTACTGAGGGGGATGAGAGGTTGTTAACTACGAGGCACGGGAGAGGAGTGACCGCGACAGGCGACAGGCAACCAGAAGCACCATGCCATTGCAGGAGGAGACCCTCCGGGAAGTGTGGGCCTCAGACAGGTGGGAACCCCCACATCGTCCCATGTGAACTCCAGGCCCCATTTGCAGGACCACAGTGGTGGTGGCGGGGTGAGGGGAGTAGAACACAAGAAGGGAACAGCCTGGTTCCATTGTACCCTCAGTGGCCATGAAGAGGACTTGCTGAGCCCGGAACCGCAGCAGTGCCCCAAGCAGGTGTGTCAACAAATTTGGGGTTTGGAAAGGAGGCACGAAGGTGCCCCTCGGGGTACACAGAAAGGGGACTGTAGGGGAGAGGTCCCGGAGAGTTTAGGAGAAGAAAGGGGGGCTAGGACATGGGGTGCCAAGGAACATTTGGGGGTTTTGGGTCTTGGAAGTGACCGTCATGAGAGTATGGGCCATCCACACTGAGAAGGGACTGCAGCACCCCTTGGGATAATCCGAGGCTATTTCTGGCGGCTCCAAGGGATTAGAGGGAGATAGGAGCCCCAGAGTCCCCTTCTCTCCCGGTGACCCCTATTTCACAGCGACCCACCCAGGGACAGAAACTGAGGAAAAAGAAGTCCGAGACCCCGGAGTCTCAGGGATCCAAGCCCCGCAAAGCTGGAGGTGAGTCCTGGGGTGTGTGTGGGGTGCTCGGGAGGGTATGGGCCGGGGAGGAAGAAGTGGGGACCTCTGAGACAGAACTCTGCCCACACATCTGGTCTAGCTGGGCGCAAGAAGCTCGAGGAGCCGCCCGCAGACCCCGCAGAGGCGCGCGCTGTGCCGACGGTCTACGCCAAGTTCCTTCGGGACCCCGAGGCCAAGAAGCGGGATCCCCGGGAAACCTTCCTGGTTGCCCGCGCCCCAGATGTGGGAGGCGGTGAGTGAGGCGTAGGGAGGGAGGAGCGGACAGTGTGAGCTGTACCTGGGAAGCAGGCGTCACCACCTGGTCACCCAGGCCAGGGGCGTGTTCCCCTCCTCTTTCCCTGTTACACATATGGAGAAACTGAGGCAGCATGGGTCCAAGCTTTTGCCTTGAGCTACAGTTAGTAGTCAAAGTACCCTAGATGGTGGTAGCGGTGGGAAAGCAAGTCAGGAGGGAGCAGAGCAGGGTGCCTCCCACCGCAGCCCCGTGCAGGAAGGTGCTTGAAACCCCGCAGCACCCTGCAGGGTCTGGACCTCTGGAGCCTGTATTACAAGAGTATTCTATCCATAGTTGAGGATTTGGAGGAGGATTCCGATGACGATGAGGAAGAGGATGAGGAAGAGGGGAAAAAAGAGAAAAGCTCTCTGTCCCCCAGGAGACCACCCAAGGGAAGAGAGAAGAAAGCCAAAGCCCTAGGCCCGCGGGGTAGGTGCAGGGAGCACCCAGGAACCCACCCACTGGCAGGCAGAAAGAGTCCCCTGAGGGGCGGAGGAGACCGCAAAGCTCCCAGCACCGGTGCAGAGAGCCCCCCCCCCCCCTTCAATGCTGGTCCCTAGGTCCCTAAGGAGATCAGTTCTCAAGACTGCAAAGGGAGCGCCAGGGAGGGCCGTTCTGTTTTCTTTGGGGGCTTTGCTCTGACTTCATGTGGATTAGCCTTATAATTTGTTTTGTTTTGTTTTGTTTTGTTTTTGTTTTTTTCGAGACAGGGTTTCTCTTTGTAGCCCAGGCTGTCCTGGAACTCACTCTGTAGACCAGGCCGGCCTTGAACTCAGAGATCTGCTTGCCTCTGCCTCCTGAGCGCTGGGATTAAAGGCGTGTGCCACCACAGCCCAGCTAACGTTATAATTTTTAGTAAGTAGATGGAAGTAAAAGGAAATCCTGGGCTAAAGATGGTGAGGACTCCTGGCCTGGAAGGTCTGGTCAGAAATGTGTGGCATGCTGGGTCTGATCTCTGGAGGGTCGGAGGCTGAGCTCCTGGCCCCGGGGAGGGTCCCCCCTGGAGGAGAGACTGAAGGAGGATTAAGGGCTGAAGTGACAGCCTGGCTTCCATTCATTCCCTCGCTCATTCCTTCCAAGCCTCTTAAGCTGATTCCCAGCCAGATTGTTTTTTAGACTCAGGAGAAAGTAACTCCAGAACCATGGACCACAGTCCCTGTCTGGTGTTCAGCACTCTGGTAACTGCAAGCTGGACCACAGGGTTAGAAGGTGATCCTAGGCCCCAATAGGTTTCTTCTTTTCCGACCCCCTCAAACTTCCTATTCCCAGAGGACCTAGGAAGCCCTGAAATCCCCCGGAAACCAACCCACACCAAGAAGAAGGAGCCAGGGGAGGGAACCAAGCTGAAAAAGACAAAGAAGAAAGGTAAGGGGGAGGGGTGTACACCGCCGGACGGACAGATGGAAGGAGGACAGGGGTCGTTGGGTGTGTTGAAATGGTGACTCCTTCTTGTATCCTCTCTGCAGGGGCTGGGGAGGCTGACAAGGACCCATCAAGGAGTCCAGCAGCCCTGAGGAAGAAGACCCCAGCAGCCATGTTTCTAGTTGGGGAAGGTGGTCCGACTGAAAAGGGTGTGAAGAAGAAAGGTGTGTGGCCGAAGGGTGGCAGGACCGTAGGCACGGTGTGTGCAGTGAGGAGTGAGGGGGGCAAGAGCTGGACCCTGTGGGGGCATCCTGACACCCTTGTTCTGAGAGCCGGGTGGCCTTTCTGAGGCTCTGATCAGAACCTGTCTATGGGCGTGGAGAGGATTAAAGGGAAACATGGGTATTGGGAACACCTGGCTGATCAGGGTAAAAGGTCTACAGCCTTTCTCCCTCCATGTTCAGGGCCGGCCAAAGGCTCAGAGGAAGAGAAGAAGGAGGAAGGGGAGGAGGAAGAGGAGGAGTCTTCAGCGATGAAGAATAGCAACCAGAAGGGCCGAGCAAAAGGGAAAGGCAGGAAGGTTGTCACCTGAGGGGCAGGTGTGGGGGGATTTTGGGGGTAAGGACTTGGGTCCCCACCCATGACTGGGCACAGGGCCTAGGAGCATCGGGTTCAAAGGGACAGAAGAGGCATGGCTCAGGCCACCCATGGCCCTTACATACTCTGCTGCCAAGGCCTCCCCTCTGCGGTCCCCAGTGAGAAGACACGTGTTAAAATATCAGGGAAGGGCCAGGCAGTGGTGGCACAGGCCTTTAATCCCAGCACTCGGGAGGCAGAGACAGGCGGATCTCTGTGAGTTTGAGGTCAACCTGGTCTATAAAGCAAGTTCCAGGACAGCCAGGATTGTTACTCAGAAAGACCCTGTCTTGGAAAACAAAAAACAAAAAACAAAACAAAAACAAAAACAAAAACAAAAAAAAAAACAGGGAGGCTGAGCACACAGCAGCAGGACTCTGGGTTTCAGGAAGGTAGAGGTGGGGGAATGAGATGGGATAAGGTCTTGCCATGTAGCCAAAGCCAGCCTGGAAATTCCAACTCTTTCTACCCTCACTGGTATTGGGATTTCAGGTGAAAGTCTATGTCTGGCATCTGGGAGGCACATCTTACACACCTCTGGGGCACTGACTGACTGGATGTTGGCTAGCGGGAGCCACTGTTAAAATACTTCACTCTGTTTGCTACTCTGAGTTCATCCCTCAGGACCTCTAGCCTCCCAGCCAGGAAAGAGCCCCAGTTCCACATGCATGCAACCCCAGCACATGGGCAGTGGAGGCAGCAGGATCAGGTGTGCAGAGTTAACCTCAGCTACACAGTGAGGTTGAAGTCATCCTGGCCTACATGAGACCCTGTCTCCAAAAGCAAGGCTGGAGAGATGACTCAGCAGTTAAGAGCATTGGTTGCTCTTGCAGCAGAACTGGCCTGATTCCCAGCACCCCTATATGGCACCTCACCTTTGTAGCTCCATTTCCAGGGGATCTGATACCCTCTTCTGACCTCTGAAGGCGCCAGACACACCTGAGGTACACAGACACACATACAGGCAAAACACTCACACAGAGAATTTTTTTTTTGAGACAAGGTTTCTTTTTCTTTTCTTTTCTTTTTTCTTTTAGAGTTTTTGCTTCTTTGTACTTAAAAAAAAAAAGATTTATTTATTTATTAAACATACAATGTACTGTGGCAAGGAGGGCACCAGGTCTCGTTACAGATGGTTGTGAGCTACCATGTGATTGCTGGGAATCGACTCGGGACAGCCAGTGCTCTTACCCTCTGAGCCATCCCTCCAGCCCCGAGACAAGGTTTCTCTGTGTAGCTTTGGGACCTATTCTGGAATTCGCTCTGTAGACTAGGCTGGCCTCGAACTCACAGAGATCCACCTACCTCTGCCTCCCAAGTGCTAACATTAAAGTTGTGTGCTACCACTACCTGACGAAAAAATAAATCTTTAAATAAAGTAACCAATTAATCTCTGACTACCAAAGGCTCCAGAATCTTCACCAAAGCTGAGTCTATTCTGAGTTGACATCTTCCACTGTCAAGACATGTTGCTAAGGACTTTGAATGACAACCTGTGCACACACTGGTCTGCAGACAAGGAGAGTTAAAACTCTCCTCAAAAGGGAGAGACCTCCAAGAGCCAGCCCTGGACCGAGCTCTGTGGGTTTAGTAGTTTGTGTAGGAGTGTCAGGTCTTCAGGGATGGATTTGCATTAACCGAGATTACTGCTGTTGCTGTCCAGGGTATCTTATCCCTCCCCACAGCAGGCGTCCAAATTCACAGGTGCAGAGATGTTTGAGTAAGCGATGACTTTTCTCACCTCGCATTCCAGACATAGTCTTGCGTTTCCCAAGTTTCTTCTGGAGCGGCTGGAGTACAGTCTAGATGGTCATTTGCCCCTTGGTCAAGCGCCCCAGGCTGTGTTTTACCACATGCAGTGTAGAATTGCCCCCAGCAGAAGGCTCCTCAGCGCTCATAGATAACTTTGAGGCCTTAGGCGCTGAAGCCCCAACCTGATAGGTCAGTCGCTCCCCTGCAGAGTCCTGGTTTCTCTCTGGGAGCAGCAGGAGAAAGGGCGCGAGGTCTCACCCTGCCTCCTTCTGTAACTGAAGTGTTACTAGGAAATTCTCCAAGAGTAAGCAAGCTGACAGGTTCCTGAGTCAGCCAAGTCTTGTATGAGTCAGCTATGCCTTGCTGCATAACAAATGGCCTCCAAGCTAGCCAGCTTTCCTGCTTAGTCTCTAAGGGTCATAAATCTAGGGACAGTTTAGCAGAACCATGTGGGCTCATGGTGTCACACGAGGTTGTACTTACCCAAAGACTGACTCGGAATGGACCGTTCGTTTCTAAAGTGGTTCAGCCATGGTTGTTGGTTGGAGGCCTTTCTTCCTTTCCACAGAGACATCTCCTGTAGGCATGGCGTGACCCCCGTTTCTATGGAACAGGGATGGCTACCCCAGTGTGTTAATGAGACTACAAAGGGTTAATATTTGGAGCACTAGGCATGGTGGTACACACCCCTACTCCAAGCACTGGGAGGCCAAGGAGGATTGTAGTGAGGCCAGCCTGGGCTACAGAGTGACTTTGAGGCTAACCTTGGCCTTCTAGTGAAACCCTATCTCGAAATAAACAAATTAAGGGCTAAAGAGAAGGCTCAGTGGTTAAGAGCATTTGCTGCTCTCACAGAGGACCTGAGTTCAGTTCCTAGCACCTGATGGCTCTCAATAATTTATAACTACAGTTCCAGATTTTTTTTTTTCAATACAGGGTTTCTCTGTATAACAACCTAGTTGTCCTGGAACTCATTCTGTAGACAGGCTGGCCTTGAATTCACAGGTATGCACTACCACCACCCAGCACCAGGAGATCTTGTACCCTCTTCTGGCCTCCAGGACACCAGGCACACATGTGTTGTACAAACAGACTTGCAGACTAAACGCTTACGTCTATTATAGAAAACAAAAACAAACACTCCACCGCCACCACCCACCACAGAGTCAGCTGTGGCAGATAGCTCATAGCTGTTGTCCCAGAACTTGGGATGTGAAGGCAGGAGGATCAGGAGTTCGAGGCCAGCCTCCATAACATAGTGAGTTCAAGGTCAACCTGGGCTTTATGAGACCTTATCTTTAAATATGAAAATGGGGTTGGAGAGAAGACTTAGCAGTTAAGAGCACAGGCTATTCTTCTGAGGACAAGGGTTCAATTCTTAGCACCCACATGGTGACTCACAACTTCCTGTAACTCCAATTCCAGGCGACCTGATACCGTAACACTGACATACATGCAGGCAAAACACCAATGCACACAAAATAAAAATAAATTATATATATATATATATATATATATATATAATGAAAATGGAAACAAGAAAGTTGTATCCAGCTGACCGACCTTAGTGTTGGAACATGAACTCAAACTGTGACTGTCTGGGTTCAAGCTAAATAGTTATAATACACTGCAGAATTCCAGAGCCTTCTATCATGAGGTTGGGCTTCTGGGCTGTGGGGGATGGAGATGCCTCCACCCAGGACTGGATGAGAAAGGACTTGTCTCCTTTCTCCCTCCAGAAAGTGGTGAGTGATGGCCTGTCCTGCCTGGGGTGCAGAAAGGGACCTATGGAGTGGGGTATCCTGGCTGATGCGCTGTCTGCCTGTGTAGAAGGAGGAGAGGGCTCCATCTCCCCCCGTGGAAGTGGGTGAACCTCGGGAGTTTGTGCTGCAGCCAGCGCCCCAGGGCAGGGCAGTGTGCTGCCGGCTGACCCGGGACAAGAAGGGCATGGACCGTGGCATGTATCCATCGTACTTCCTACACCTGGACTCGGAGAAGAAGGTCCTGAGAGCGGGGTTGGGGGCGTCTGTCTAGGGCAGGGGCAGTGTCTGGGGCCTCCCTGGTACCCCAGTTCCACTTTGTCACCTCTCTGTTCCCTTCTCTGCAGGTGTTCCTCTTGGCCAGCAGGAAACGCAAGCGCAGTAAGACAGCCAACTACCTCATCTCCAGAGACCCTACCAACTTGTCCAGGGGAGGGGAGGACTTCGTTGGAAAGCTGAGGTGCGGCTGCGCTTCTGGGCCACGGGCAGTCACTTCTGTACCACTGTGGCTGGCAGAGTGCCCCCACATGGGATGCCCCAGAGACGTCCTTCAGCCTAGGGCATCTCACATTCTGACAAGCCTGGATGTCTTGGAGACCTGATCTAGGTGGTTTTGTGGGCTTGGGATGGGCCCCTGGCACTGCATGCCAGCATCTCCCCCAAGGGGTGGGGACTATACCAAGGCTCTCACATAGCTCCATAAGGGCAGGGCCCTTATCATGGAGTGCTACCGGCTCCCACACAGTACCTTCTCTGAGGAGGTGTACTACTAGGTGTGGTGGTACATGCTATAATCCCAGCACTTGGTAGTTAGAGAAAGAATTATCAGGAGTTCAAGGTCACCCTTGGTTGTTTAAGGAGCTTAGAGATAGCCTGGGCTACATTAGACCCTGCTCCCTTTCCCTACAAAAAAGGAGGAGAGAGAGAAAGGGGATGTAGTTAAATTGAAAGAAAAGAGTATTTGCTTAACCAGGTTTAATCCTAGCACCACATACGTTATCATGGAACACAGCTGTAAAGCCAGCACCAGGAGGCAGAGACAGGAGGACCCACAGTTCAAGGCCAGCCTTGTCTACCTCATGAGACAATGTTTCAAGAGCAAAGGAAAGCAGTATTTACTGAGTGTATGAACAAGCAAAGGGAGACTCAACATGGCTGGGAAGGCTTCCCTATAGCGGCTCAGCTACCCGCTAGTCTGAAAGGACTTCTTCTTCTTCTTCTTCTTCTTCTTCTTCTTCTTCTTCTTCTTCTCCTCCTCCTCCTCCTCCTCCTCCTCCTCCTCCTCCTCCTCCTCCTCCCAGGCTGGCCTTGAACTCCTGCCTCTGCCCCCTTCATCAAATCCTACTGATGTGTGCCACCACAACTGGCCTGAAAGAACTTCATTTATTTGTGCATTTCACGAAAGTCTGTAGGAGCCTGCCCATGCCTCAGGCACAGCCCTGAGCACTTTCCAAACATTACCCAGAGATTATTCCCTGACCCCTACTGTGTGCACGGCCATGTGCATTCAGTAGGTCAATGATCAAAATAACCAACTCAAGGGGGACAGGAGACTGCTATCTCCTGGGGCCACAGAGGGAGACAAAATCCGAATTATTTATTTATATATTTAGTGTGTGTTTGGCTTTTGTTCTTTGTTTTTGAGACAGGAATCTCTGTGTAACAGTCCTGGCTGTCCTCAAATTTACAGAAACCCGCCTGCCTCTGCTTCCTGAGTGCTGGGATTAAAGGTGTGCAACACGATGCCCGGCTTGAATTATTTATCTTATTATTTAGTTTTATTCTGAGTGTGGTGTGTTCAGGCACATGCATGCAGGTATGTCTGTGTGGAGGTTGGAGGACAACTTTGTAGGCTCAGTTCTCTTTTTGCCTTTTCAGGGCTCAAACTTGGCTCCTCAGCCTGTGCTGACCCCTTTACCACTGAGCCTCAGCCTTAATTTTTTTTTTTTTTTGGTTATTTTTGAGACAGGGTTTCTCTGTAGCTTTGGAGCCTGTCCTGGAACTAGCCAGGCTGGTCCCAAACTCACAGAGATCTGCCTGCCTCTGCCTCCTGAGTGCTGGGATTAAAGGTATGTGCCACCACCACCCGGCAGAGCCTTAGTTTTGATTTTTTTTTCTTTTTTGAGACAGGGTCCAGGCTGGTTTGGCCTCATTATGTGGTGGCAGGTGATCTTCTGCCATGCCTGCCAAATGCAGCAGTTACTGCCACACCTGACTCTGTTTTTCTTGCTGTTTTCTTGCTGCTGGGGATTGAACCTAGAGCCTCAGGCATGCAAAGAAGTGTATTCCACCAATGAGCCCACAGCCAGACTGTTTCAAAACAACAGTGATAAGTAATAATTTTAAAACTCTCCCTTCAAGGGAAGCCTGGATCAAGGCACCTGACATACTCACTCCCGAGACACACACTGCCCCTTGCTCTTGAACTAGGAGCTTGGGGGAAGGGTTTTGGAATGAGAGGTGGTAGGGACCCTCTTGCCTTGGTTCAACTCTTCTCCCACCCTCAGGTCCAATCTCCTGGGCAACCGCTTCACAGTCTTTGACAATGGGCAAAACCCACAGCGCGGCAGAGGTGTGGACGTGGGGAGCCTGCGCCAGGAGCTGGCAGCTGTGATCTATGTGAGAAGCCACCGTTGCCACCGTGCCCGGCTCTCCTCGGATGGGATGCAGCCTGACATCCATCTCTCTCTTTCAGGAAACCAATGTTTTAGGGTTCCGAGGACCCCGTCGCATGACTGTCATCATCCCTGGAATGAACTCGGACAATGAGAGGGTCCCTATCCGGCCCCGAAATGTGAGCCTCTATCTCCCTAGTCTTGCAGGAACCTTGCAGACTGGGTGAACCTAGGGTCTCAGAGACCGATGGCTGGCATGTCCCAGGCTCCTGGGTGACTGATGTCACTTCAGTCATTTACAATGAAAAGTAACAACCCTGTCAGCTGTCCATTCACTTTCCCTGCTAGGAGGCCAAGCTGCCATTGGAGGCCACGCTGGCCAGGAAGCTGGGCCTTGCAGGTTCTGTGGACCCCACCATCACTACTTCTGAGGCCTGTCAGTAAGAACCAAGGTCCAAACGGGACACAGCCGTGATCAGAACACTAGCTGCTGGGCTGGGGTGGCTCACCTGACAGGCACGAGGCACTGGGTTCCATCCCCGGTGCCACAAAAGCCAGACATTGTGGTTCACACCTCTAATCCCGGCACTCAGGAGGTAAAGCAAGAGGATTAGAAGTTTAAGGTTATCCTCAGCTACACAGGGAGTTTGAGGCCAGCCTGGGCTATATGGGACCCTGACAACACACACACACATGCACAAAAAATAGTAGTAGTAGTAATAATGATAATAACAATAATAATAATAATAGAGGGGGCTTGGAGATGTCTCTGTCAATAAAATACCTGCTGTACAAGCATGAAGGCCTGAGGGGAGATTCCCAGTATCCATGTAAAAGCTGGGCACAGTGGTGTGTACCTGTACCCCAGCACCGGGCAGGTGGAGATGGGTGGATCCCCAAATGCATTGATTACCCAGCCTACCTCAATCAATGAGCTCCAGGTTCAGTGGGAGACTAGGGCATGAATAGTGGCCCACAACTCCTCCTGGGTGCCAGTTACATCTTTCCACTCTCTGCCAGAGCACCCGCCCCCTCAACAAGACCTGCTCTCAGCGCTGTTCATCCTGCATCTGCTGAGACCCTCTGTGGACATTACAGTCCAGGCTGAACAACAGCCGCACATCCATCCTGGCCCACTGAGCAAGCCCAGCTACCTCTAACCATCCTTTCTCTGTTACCTCCCCTTGGGCGCCCCAGTCCAGCGATGGGCTGCTGGTGCGCTGGCAGAACAAGACCCTGGAGAGCCTCATCGAACTACATAACAAGCCGCCCATCTGGAACGAAGACAGTGGCTCCTACACCCTCAACTTCCAAGGCCGGGTCACCCAGGCCTCCGTCAAGAACTTTCAGATTGTGCACGCTGATGACCGTGAGTGTCTGAGGACCCTCTCCCCTCCCCTCTTGACTCTGGTTTGGGAGGGGGCTCAGAGAGTTCGAGCAAAAGTCTTGGGGTTCACTAGTACAAGTTAGTGACCTAGCCTTGACCAGGGTCCTTGGGTAGATGCTGGGACATTCCCAATGGTATAGTGATGAGGGGAGGGATGAAGGTGGGAATTTGGGGACCACCTAGAGTCTAACCCCTTGGTGTGTAGTCGGCGGTGGCACCCAAGACCGCAGAGCAGAAACGAGAGTTAGAAATTATTATTTTCATGATAATTGTCCTAAAACAAGGTCTCACTATATAGTTCTGGCTGCTCTTAAACTATCTATGAGGACAAAACTGGCCTTAAACTCACAGAGATCCTCCTGCTTCCCCAGTGCTGGGATTAAAAGTATAGCCACCATACCCTGCTAAAATAGAGGATTGTCTTTGTGGGGTGGATTTTTAGTTTTTTAAAACAGGTTTCTCTCTGTTACATGTCCTGGAAACTCTTTGTAGACCAGGCTGGCCTCAAACTCGCAGAGATCCCCCTGCCTCTGCCTCCCGAGTACTGGGATTATCGAGGCTTGCCACCATGCCCAGCAAGAATTATCTTTTAAGAACAGGATAGCTAGGGCTTGGGGGGAGGCAAGTGTCTGTGTGTCTTCTGTGTCTGTGTGTAGTTCGAGGACAACCTGCAGGAGCCACTTCTCTCCCCTCATCAGTTGAGTCCCAGGAATCAGATGAATTTGACCTGAAGGTCACCAGACTTGGCAGCAAGCACCAAGAGTAGGAAATATGGACCATGAATTTCTAAATGTCTACGACTTTTTTTTTAAGATTTATAATTTTATGCTGGGTGGTGGTGGTGCACACCTTTAATCTCATCTCTCAGAAGGCAGAGGAAGGCGGATCTCTGAGAGTCTGAGTCCAACCTGATCTACAGAACGAGTTCCAGGACAGCTAGGGCTATTCAGAGAAACCCTGTCTCGAAAAACAAAAACAAAAATAAGATCTATTATTTTTTATGTGTGTGTGCCTGCATGACTTACGTGCACCTTGTGTGTGCAGGTGCCCACAGAGGCCAGAGGGTGTCAATCTCCTGGAACTAGAGTTACAGGCAGTCTTATGGGTGCCGGGTCCTCTGCAAGAGCAGTCAGTGCTCTTTACTGCGGAGTCATATCTCCGGCCCTCTACTTTTTCTCAGAGACTGCCCCTGAGGACTTATTTAGGGAACCAAGATCTCCAGGGCATGAACGTCTCTGTCCTAGCTTGGGCAAGAGGTTCCACAAAGGGTTTGGCCAGTGCCATGCAACCCCCCCCCCCCCCCAGTCCTATTGCTGTCCCCAGTATCTCATGTCCCCAGGCCTTGGGACTGCTCACCAGGCCAGTTCCTGTGGGAGCCTGGTTCGCCACCAGACCAGGATGGAGGGGTTTTGTTTTAAAATAGCTTTCTATCCCTATTCATGCTGTGAGAGAAGTGCTGAGATCCGGGCTGGGAAGCCAGTTGGGTGGTCTTGCCTGTTATCCGGGTGACCAGCCTGGTCCTCTTAGACAGATTCAGGACGGCCAGGGCATTTGGGAGGGAGATAGCAGGAGGATTAGGAATTCAAGGCCAGCCTCGGCTACCCATAGAGAGAAGGGAGAATGGAGGGAAGGGTGGGGAAAGAGGCTGATTGATTGAGAGTGATTGGAATTGGTAGCTCCAGAGCAGGAGAGGCCTGCCACTCCACTCCTGGTTAGAGAAGGGCCTGAACCAGGGTCAAATGTGGGCATAAGAACTGGGGTTGGGCAGAGGAATGAGGCCAAAACTGGATAACAGAGGGAAGGGTTCTGGTTTGGACAAGTTTGTCAGAGTCCTGTACAGCTAGGTTACAGATTTGCTGTAGCCCTGGGCAGATGGTGATAAGGTGGGGCTCCTGCCCTGCGGACTTGGTGTGACAGACCCTATACAGGCGGGGCTCCTTGGCTGACTCAGTAAAGGGAAGGTTGCCCGAGGCTGCCTGGGGGCTGTGACTCCAGATCAAGGAAAAAGACCTCCCGGTGTTAAGGAGTTGCCTGTCAAGAGGGGGCCTGAGGTCACCCCACTGTCTTTCCAGCCGACTATATAGTGCTCCAGTTCGGCCGCGTAGCCGAGGACGCCTTCACTCTGGACTACCGGTACCCGCTGTGCGCCCTGCAGGCCTTCGCCATCGCCCTCTCCAGCTTCGATGGGAAGCTGGCCTGCGAGTGACCCCACAACCCCTCAGCGCTGGGAAAACACTCAGCTGGGGGTGATAGAATCCCTTCCCCACAGCCCGCGCACCCCCAGCTTGGCACCGGCTAGGCGGAGGAGCGCTGACTGGGATGGAGATGAACATCTGGTCACCCCCTCCTCCTCAGTCACTTCCTGCCCAGGAGCCCGAGTCAGACGTTCGAGGCCCCTCCAGGACTTCACTGGGGGAAACGGAGAAGCAGGGTCAGAGACCCACATTCTCAATAAAGTTACATCCCAGACTGAACGCAGCAGTAATTCCCGGATGCGTGCTTGTAGACCCAGGTGCCCATGCGTGCTCTAAACTCCCTTCTATCCTTCTGTCCTATGGATCCTCAGCAGGACCTCAGGGTCCGGCCCTCGACTCTCCAGGCCGCAGGGCGGAGAAGGAGGGGCCCCAGAGGTCCAGGAAGAGGGAGAAAGGGAGAAATTCGAGAAACAAGCCACTCGGGGAGAACCAGACAAACCGGGTCCGGGCAGGGCGGAGCCGGGTCTGGGGCCCCGGAGTGGGGGGGGGGGCGGGCTCTCGGTGGGAGGAGCGCTGCAGAGGCCTCGACTGCGGCAGACCAGATGGGAAGGGCGCCGCTTCGCTTCACGAAACGCCGTTCCCCAGGACCCCAGACTCCTTCAAGAGTCCGGCCCAGGGGGCAGAGCTCTGCTCTTGGCTCCGCTCCAGGCCTGATCCCCAAGATTCAGCGGGGTACCCGAAAGGGGGTTGCGTAGGGGAGGTGGGGACTCTGAGATGGCGAACGAGAACTGGGGTGCGCGGGCGGGCGAATCCACAGTGACGGGCGTTCTTGGGGCTGGGTGGTCAGAGACCGCAAGCCCGGGCCCGCCTTAGACCACGCCTCCACACTAACACCGCCCATCCATGACCCCGCCCAGATCTAACTCCGCCCACACGTCCCGCCCCTCTAGCCCGCAGCCCCCACCCCCCGCCCGGCTCCTCAACACAAACTTTCCGTCCCGCTCGCTCCCTCCTCCGCGCCCAGCACCTCCCGCTCCGGCCCGGCTCATTCCGTGCATTCCGGCCATCCCCCTGCCCACGACCCCCCTTTCCGGCCCCCCTTGCTACTCCTTCGGGCCCGGAGGAGCGGCCCGGCGGAGCGCCCCCCGGAGCTCGGAGCAGGTAAGCCCAGGGGACACAACTCGGAGGCCTCGCGCGCAGAGGTGACTGCTCGGGTGGCTTCTGGATGGCGGGGACCCGAGACACCCTGGGGGCGCTGAGCTATTGTCCAGCCTGCGCCCGAGCCCAGGACCTGGGTGCCGGGAAGTTTGGAGGGAAGGGGAGGGGGGGGGGGGCTCTCCGGGAAGCCCCGCCCACTCACCCCACCCCCCCACGACCCGGAGGCTGGAAGCCCGGAGTGTCCCGGGTGCCCGGGCCTGGCCCCGCCGAGTGCCGGGGTGTGCGCCCAGAGCCGCGGGCTTGGAGGGCCTGCCGCCGGGACTCGTATCCGGAGCGCCCTTTGGACTCCGGGAACCCGCGGGCCCCGGCTCCACGCAGGCCTTGGCCAGGGCGCGTCGGTGTGAGCACTGCTCGCGGCTGCGCTGGGACCCGGCCGGGCGTCGGGAAGCCACACTGCGAGCCCGGAGCGTGTGCGCACCGAAGGGGGACGCCTGTCCCCTCCAGTTCTGCGGCCCGCGTCGGGGCGAGGGCTTCAGAGTGTCAGCTCTAGCCGAGGAGTCTCGCTCAGGACGCGGCTTCATTTGGGGCCTTCTCCGCAGAACTTGTTAAGGCAATTAAGGGAGTCTGGGCTTCCCTTCCCACTCGGGTCCTCTCCATTGTCCATCACGTCTTTATTCCTTCTTGGGAAGGGAGGCCGGAGCGCTGGTGTGGATCTGTTTTCTAGCCCCAGCAGGCCCTGGGGCAGTGTCACTGAAGCCCCTACTCTACCCCCACCCCCAATAGGGGCCCTGATTGAGGGCTTAGATTCTTAAAGAGCGAGAAGGAACGCGGTCCGGGGCCGGGCTTCTCAGGGTCTGTGTCCCGAGCTCTCCAGATAGGAGCAGAACCAAGTCAGGCCTGGACTTGTAGCCCAGCGGAGAGGATGGGGGTGGGGGCTGGACACGGCTTTGAGGGGCTGGTGTCTATGGTGGCTCCGTGTATTCGCGCTCCCGTGGCCTGGTTCTGTGCACACACGGTTCCGCCTCCGTGTTGGGGTCTGGGACACCCCCCCTCCCCCGGCTGAGGGTTGTTGTCGCCTGGGGTCAAGAAGGAAAGCAGATAGAAGGTGGGGGTTCAGGGAGACTATGGCTCTGTCATTCCTAGACCCCGGACCTCCCTCGGAGACTCCTTCTCCACGCTTCTTCTGAGCACTTGTTAAAGTAGTTGAGGGCAGCTGGTCTTCCCTTCCCACTCAGGTCTTCCCCATTGTCTGTCACGCTTTTTATTCCTTCATGGGAAGGTCGGGGTTCTACTCATCCAGTGGCCAAAAGAGTAGCCAGACCTTCCCCACCCCCAGGGAGGGAACTGTAATTAATGCTAATTAGCACTTTGGGGCTGGGGATGGTGGAACAGAATGGTCAGTGGTTGGCAGGAGATCTCTGAGTGTGTGCACACACACGTAGGTGAGTGTCTATCCAGAGGCCTGCACCCACATCACTGTGAGTTTTTACATCCTGGCTTGCTATGTTGTCGGGGAGAAGAGACAGCTCAACCGAGGTCAAGAGACAGGTCTCTGGTCCCCTGATGGGCCAGTTGTGTGGGTGACTCCCCCCAGGCGCCTAATCCCTGAGCCCCGCAGAGGCTTGTCCCCCTGTCTGCCTCAGTCTCCCTTCATCGTGGAAGCTGAACCTGGAGAGGTCTGGAGAGGTGGGAGGGTGGCCCCTGATGGTACAAAGAAGGCAGGAGGGTGAAGTCTTGGGGGGGAGGCTTATAGTTAAGGCAAGGATAAGGATGAGAGGTAGGTAACCTGAAGTAGTGGTGAAAAGACAGGGAGGCTGTGGAGTTAGGGGTGCTTGCTCTTGTAAGTGGGGTTCAGAGGCCACTGGGTGGCTACCTCCAGCCTCAGTCCCAGAGCCTTTCAGGCTCTCTAGGGCTCCACATAGGAGCTTGGGGAACCGAAGCCCCAGGCCTGTCTGTGCTCAGAGGATGCAGTTGCTGAGGGCTGGAGGGTGGACTCCTGCTTGAGGGACCAGGGACCAGGCTGGTCCGAGGCTCTCAGGAGGTCCCAGCCTTGTCCCCCGTGGGGCACAGGACCTGTAGCAGCCCTAGGACCCCCTCCTAAGTCTCTCTGGTTAGAGCTGGGGATCAGAAGGTTGCTGCGGTCCCTGTGGGTACTGTTGCCAGGTGCGGGCGCTACCTGTCTCCAGACCCAGAATCCAGACCCAGCTCCCCAAAGCCTCAGCCCTTGGGGTTTCCTCGAGTGCTGATTGTTTCCTGGATTCCCTGCCAGGCCTAAAAGGGCAGGAAGTGATAGAGGAAACGAGAAGCCCTGTGTGACTGCATTGGAGCATCCGAGAGGAGCGTGAAGGGTCGTCAGTGTGGGATGCGCTATCCAGCGGGTACCTGTGGGAAAGAAGCCAAATGGAGATTTTGTGAGCACACGTAGGAAAACCTGTCTGTGGCAACGTGGGTGAGAGCCACAGTGGTGTTCTCCATCCTTGTGGTCACGAGAGAAACTGAGAACTTGGGCTGGCGAGATGGCTCCAAGGCTTAAAAAAAAAAGTGCTTGAGCCAAACTTGCTGACCTGTGTTCAATGTCCAGAGCCCACACGGTGGGAAGAGAGCCCATGACTCTCTGGTGTGTAAGTCGGTTGGGGAGTGGAGATTTCTCTGTGTGTGCCTGTGTGTGTCCGAGAAGCTGCTGAGGTGACTTTCTGTTGTTGGGCATCGCGCTGGGATAATCGTGACGAAAATTGTGTCTGTGGGTACCACTGGCAGTGATGCTGTGGCTCTAGGCAAGGGGCATCCCTGTGACCTGTCATGCCATGGGGCTGCCTGTTGTGAAGTGAGTGAGGTGGCCTTGGGTTTGTCTGTGTGACTGTTTATGACACCGTAAGTGAGCACAAGGACAGGATCCTCTGATGTGTACCAGGGTGCCGTGTAGCTGGAGAGACAGCCAGAGTGTGTGGCTCCCTGTGTAGAAACTGGGGTGTGACTGAGACGCCGTGGGTGGTCACTGTCTCAGCTTGTGTGGGTGACATCCTCAGGGCTATGCCACACAGGGTGTGGGGGCCTGTGATCCCAATGCACGCAGCATCTATCTGGAAGACCTTGCAAAAGATACCTTCAAGTTGGGTGTGGTGGTGCACACCTTCTGAAGCAGAGGCAGGTGAATCTCTATGAGTTCAGCCTGGTCTACAGATCGAGTTCCAGGACAGCCAGGGCTACATGCCCAGTGGGGTCCTGACACTAGAGAGACCAAGTTAGGCATGGCTTTAAGGCTACCCAGGCTCACCAGGGCTGTACAATGAAACTCACTCTCCGACAGAAATCTAACATGGTAGGTATTACAGGTATGTGCTTTTTTCCCACTCACACTGCAGTCCCCAACACTTGAGAGGCTGAGGTATGAGGATGGTGAGTTCAAGGCCAGCCACAGCTACAAAGTGAGACCTTATCTCAAAACCCAATAAGAACAAAAAAAGAGGAATTAAAAATGATAAATTTATGTTATAATACACATAACCTTAATTTGAATTTTTCCTCACACTTGTAAACCCCAAAACTTGGGAGTGCCACAAATTTGAGGGTGACCTAGGTTACACGAGTGAAGACCCGCTTTCAAAAGTGGGTGGTGGGGTCAACGAGATGGCTCAGTGGGAAGAGGTGCTTGCGGCTCAGCCTGATGACCTGAGCTTCATCTTCAGGACCTATGTGGTGGAAGGAGCATAGGACTAACCTCCACAGGCGCTCACTTGCGCGCTCTCTCTCTCTCCCTCTCTCTCTCTCTCTCTCTCTCTCTCTCTCTCTCTCTCACACACACACACACACGAATAAATAACACTATGATTATATGTGAACATGAATATATATATTTAAAACACAGGAGGCTACACAGTAAGGTGGCTACTGCCTCCTGTGTCAGAGGAGGGACAAGGTGGCAGCCTGTGTGCTCATAGAAGACACTGAGACTTCCCATGACATCGCTGATTGCTGGCAGCCCAGTGGGTGACTTGGCAGGGTGGTGGATAGCCACGTGGTAACTGAGTTCTGTGGGACCCCAGCTCCTCTGGTTGTCTCTCAGCCTGCCCCC